TCCACTTTGATTTACAGAAACATCACAGGACTTAACGAGCTGGTAGAGGACACTAAAGGCAAAGTTAATTTCAAAGTGTCTTGTATCAAAAACGTTCCTGCTTTGCTTGTGCTGAGTTGTTTTGATGCATTCAGATTCGGTTTCCAGGTTTCCAGCAAGCCCTGTAGAAAGCACAAACTTGTGTTCCTCTAAGGGGGACCTGTGTTCCTAGGGGAGATGGAAGTTACTCTCTGGTCTTTGTGCTCACTGGAGAGAGGGTGGGAAGATAGGACAGGGACTGGGAGGGGTGTCGTGCCGTGACAGTGCTGGCTCTCTCACTCCTAGCTGGAGACCTGCACCAACATTGGTCTTCTTGAGGTCTAGGTGTCTCATCTAGGAATGGATAATCATAATATCATCCTGTGTGTGCAGGATGGAATACTCTGAAGATCACGAGATAAGACACAGAGAGCTCTTAAAACCACATGCACATGAGAGAATACCCAGTAAAAGCTGATTGTTATACCACCCCCAAAATAGAGGCATGAGTATATTAAAATTTGATTTGAGGAGATGTATCCTCTTCTGGGCCTTGCAACCTATGGAGGTGCCCTGGGAAGCCTGCAGTCTGTCTGTGTCCTTGAGCTGTGAGCTGGGGCCCTGGAGGTCATGGTCCCTGTCTGCACCTGTGCAGGCCCAGAGTCCTGTCTGCAAAAGGGCTGTGTCCTTCCATTCAGCACGTTCAAATTCGTCTCTTAAATGAAGCCCTTTCTAGTGAAAAGGCTTGGATTGGATTTTGTTCCAATGTCCAGAGGGGCCCACATCAGTGACAGTTGTTGGGACATGAGAAGAGCTATCCATGTTAAGGAATATTCTTCATCGTCCTGTGAAATGAAGAACTAGGCTGGTAGCAGATTCCTCTGCGTCCACACTTGGGATGAGGAATCTGAGGTGGGTATGAGGCTACTGCATGCCACTTCCTTCTGGTTGTCCTCCGTATAGTGAAAGATTGCAGCAAGTCAGGGGATAGGGGTGGACTTGGCCGTAAAACTCCATCACTGGTAGTGACCACACCAGTGTGAGAAGCTGAACTACAGTGGGCTCCACATACAGCTGCTTTCAAGTGCACACATCTGACCACCCCGGGGCTGTTCCCAGGTGAATGCATGCTGTCCTCCATTCGAACCTGCCAAAGTCCTCGGTGATGCTGCCTCCTAGGCTGATACCCAGACCCCGCTGTGTTGCAGGGCTTTTTATTGTTGTTGTTGTCCTGTTTTGTCTTGCTGCACTGGGATTGAATGAATCCTGGGGTACTCTACCACTGAGATACACCCCCATCCCTTTTTGTTTGATTCTAAGACAGAGTCTCACTAAGTTGCCTGGGCTGGCCTCAGCCTTTCAGTCCTCTTGCCTCAGCCTCCTGGGTGGCTGGGATCATGGGAGCCACCACTGTGCCACCATGTTGCAGGTTATTGGACTCACCTATGGGAGAGGAATGGAGGGAACTGGGGGGTTCTGTCCTGGAGAAGTGATGTCTGAGCAGTCCTGGTTTACCCCCGTGTCCCTCATCTGGTGCCACCTTCCTCCTGACTTACACTCAAGGATGACTTCAATGCAGAAACTTTCTTCTCCCTTGTTTGCTGTGCCTTAGCAGTTTGACCCATCATGTCCTGATAGTGCATGAACTTTATGCTCTCCTTCTAGAGCCAATACATCCCAGGACATGGCTACCCACACAGACCATCATAAACCTCTGCTCGGTGGTTCACAATTCCAGTTGTATGTTAGAAACTCCAAATAGTAAAGTCAGAAAGGCAGAGAAAGAGAGGGCAGGGGGTGGGCAGAAGGAGGAAAGTGACACCTGGCTGGACCCAAGAACAACCAGATCTCTGCAGGGCTGGTGGCTGGTCAGTCCAGGCAGTCCTAATGCAGGGGCCAGGTGGACAGTCATGGTGCTGAGCAGGCTCATTCTAAACTTCCACTCTGCCACTCTGCAGGTGACCTTCTGATGAAAACCAGTAACTGGACTCCATGGTGAGCTCGGATTCAAAGATGAGCATGACCACACCTCTCAGGACACCCACACGCATGCGCACGCGCGTGCGTGCGCGCGCACACACACACACACACACACACACACACACACATACACACACACAGACTCCAGGATCCCAGTCCTTCCCCTCAGAGTTCAGCATGACAAAGTGATAATTACTGCCGAATATGCAAGGTTTCTGGAAGCTCTCCAGTGCCGTACATTTACAACAGGGTATTCAAATTCCACTGATTTGCCAGATACGCATGATGAGTTATTCCAATCCAGATCAGCACGTGTAGAACGTGTAAAGGAAACTGTCAGGCGCTCAGTTCACAGCCCCAGTGCAGCAGACCCTCCAGGAAGCCCGCCCAACCTGCTGGGCCTTCATGAGAAGACACACACTTGCAAAGTTCTGCCTGAAGTTCAGGGGCACAGGCTTTTTGAAGTTTGTGCTGTCCCAGGTTAATTCCCAGGTTGGAGCGCTTCCTTACCACATCAGAGAGAGGACACTCAGCTCAAAGGAGACCTGGCTGCTGGTGTATCTGGGCCAGCAGAGAGATCTAAGGGAGAAGGGGATCTCATGGCAGGGACCCTCCACATCAGACTCCAGGAGGAGGAGCATTAGGTGAAGTGAACAGTGCTGGCTAGCTCACGGGTGGCGGTGGAGTCGTAGGCGGGTCTTTGGACAAAGCTTCAACACATGGAGAGGTGAATGGGTAGGTATGACACAGTGAGCTGCAGAGACAAGAAGAGGGTGTGGGGCTAAGAGAAGCCATGTGTGCCCACTGGGCAGGGCTGTTCCATGGTGTTTGAGATGAGGGCACCCAGAAGGGTACAGGACTGAGCACCACTGGAGGTGTCAGGTCAGGCCATGGGGTCACACAGGTCAGGTTGCAGGGTCACAGGCCAGGAGGCTGCTGGAAGAGCCCCAGCCCTCGGCATAACTTTTGCTCATTGGGCCCCACAAATGCAACTTTCCTGTGACCAACATGGCAAGGTGGGCCCAGCACAACCCTCATAGAGATGATCCCATTTCATCCACGGGGAAGCCATACCACAACTCTTATAAATATAAAGACACGGGAGTGTTCTCCAGGACCTGGATCCCACCTTTCTTCTATTGGTGAATAGTGAAGTCTACTTAGGGGTCCAAAAAGACCGCCATGATTGGCTTATGAAAAGCAAGGGGTGTGTGAGTGTGTGCACGTGCATGGCATGGAATATCATTCAGCCAGTTCAAAGGTACCAGCCCTTGGCCTCATGTGGATGATTTTGGCAGACATTGTGCTAGTGAAACAAGCCTGACAGAGAAAGAAAACCGTGAAGGCGCTCATATCCACGTGGAATATTAAAGAAACAAAAGCAACCAAAGGGAGTAGACAGAGAATGGGACAGGGAGCGCCAGGGCCAGCTGTGACGGGGCAGAGGAGTTAGAGCAGCAGCGTGTGGGATGAGCCATCTAGGGTCTGATGCCTAGTGAGGCCACAGTGCTGAAGTGAGCTGTGCACGTGTCTCCTGTGGGACAAGTTGATGTGGGATCCCCTGGCTACACCAATAACCGTGAGCCCATGTGAGGGGATCCAGAGCATGTTAGCTACTGTGAACAGGCACAATGACATTCATTTTAAAAAAGAAAAGGAAAATGAGATTTTCCATGTGCACATTTATCCATGAAAGAAATAAAAAGGAATGGGAAGGGAAGGGCCCCTGGGCAGGGGTACATGGTCTCCAGGCTCACCCCATCTTCTGCTTCCCAGATCAAACCTCCTTCCCGTGGGAGCCGAGGACTGAGAGCCTGCAGGACTCCTCAGCAGGTGCCATCGTCCCTGCCATTGCTCCCGTCCAGGACAGCTCCTCCTGTCCCTGTGGGAGATGCCGCTGGAGCATCCCTGCAGTGGAGTCTTAGGTCTTCCAATGCCATTTCTCCACCCTCCTCTTCCACCTGCTCATCTTTCTCTCTCTCCCTCCCTCTTTCTCCCTTCATTACTGAGACCCCCCATACACAGCACTCCACCTGTGCCCTTATGCTGAGGAGGAAGGCTGCTCCTGAGAAGACCCCTGTATCCCTGAGCATCCATACAGTTGGGTGGAGAGATAAGAGGTTTCCATGGCTCTGTCACCTGTAGGGAGGGTGCCTCTGAGACTCCTGAGTGACCCTCTTGCAAACAGTGAACTTGAGTCTTCAGGTTGGATCTGATGGATGCAGCATGCTTTGGCCCCTGAGGCTTAGCACCTCTCTCTGTGGACTCTCCCCCACAGTCTCCATTTCCTCTTCTTGGAGGGGCTGGAACGATACTACTTGTTTTTTTTTTTTCTAACCTGACACATAGAATAGCAGACATTATATAAAAAGCAGACTATTAAAAGGTACAAGAGGTAGCCAACTAATTAAGCTAACATTAAGAGTTGCTGATCTAATCCTAGTAATCTTTTATTCCTTTATAGATGCATGCCTATAGGAATCCAAGATGCCTAAAAGCTAATGTTTGTCACAATAAATCCTTTGTCCGGTAGCATCTGGCCATGTTGCCATGCTCATCAGCATGGACCCCTCGGTCTGAGCTCTTCCCATGCCTTGCCTCTGCAATTCTCTCACCAGCTAGAAAACAAAGCCACAGCACCCTCAGATGCCCATAGAGTTGTCCACCCACCTCTAACTGGCCATCCTTTGCAACATAGAACTGAGCAGGAGAGGGAATCCTCCCCTGTGGAGACAGATCAGAAAGCACTTAGGAAGTGGAATTGCAATTGGCCGTGATGATCCCCCTCACCTGCCCTGGGGATGATGCACAGCTCACAGAATCAGGGAGTTGGGGCCCTCGAGTGATGCTGTGTGAGCCGAGCAAACACTGCAAAGCCCACTGTCAATGGTGTGTCCTTCCTAATGCCCTGTGTGGGTGACTAATGTGGGAGTTCCCGTGGCTGCACACCAGCAGCCCGTGCCCCGCTTAGTCCTTCACAGTTGCTCTCTCCTCCTCTCCAGTGTGGACGGCACCTCCTACGAAGTCATGCAGATCGATGTGGAAGTGGAGGAGCCCAGTGACCCGCCCACCACACAGCTGGTCACGTGGCAGGTGGAGTACCCAGGAGAGATCACGTCGGACCTGGGAGTGTCCAAGATCTACGTGAGCCAGAAGGACTTGATTGGAGTTATCCCGCTGGCCATGGTAAGAGTGCCTGCCTCGGGCTGTTGGTACCAAACTCTGGGACAGGGAAGGTGCCACGCTGTGACCCAGGTTTGGTGGGGAATGTCAGTGAGCGAGAACCAGGCTAGGGGGAGAAGAGGCTGTGAAGTTGACCGCATCTGCCAACTCTAGAAATGTGCACTCTTAACTCCAGGTATTAAAATTGGGTCTGTCTTTGTATGAAAATGATTGCTGATTTGATATCTGCGTGGCATATGATGTAGATCCTGTGCGGAGTCTGTGCATGTGCAGCTCTGCAGGGAAAAGGCATGGAGTGTCGGGTGGCTGTGCCTGGTTGGGAGCAGGGCTGAGGCTGCTGTCCCTGAGCATGGCACATGGCTTAGGTTCTGTTGTGGGAAACCAGAGGAGCACGGGTTGTGCCAGCAGGTGAGCTGATTCTGTAGCAGGCCTCCTTTGTTACTGAACAGCTCCCAGCAATGAGGTGGGGCTCTTTCTGGAAGGGGCCATCAGAGTGCGGGGCAGCCTGCAGGCGCGGCTGGTTCTTGAACTGCATTGATGAACTGGTTCCCACACTTTGGTCTGGTGAGACTCCAGCCGTGCTGGCCAGGCGGCTGCCCGTGGCTCGAGAGTGAAGAGCCGGCTTGTCATGGAAGAGTGGTGGCCGTCACCCTCAGTACCTTACTTTGACTTTGTTACTCTGATGTTCGTTGAGGGATATTTGTGAGAAATCAGATGCAAATCCCAGAATCACTAGAGAAAGAGGAGCGTTGGCTGGCTCCCCTGGGCCAGGTGAGGACAGAGGTGGGGCTGGGTTGTCTAAAGCAGCCGGAGGCCACCGGGCGTGCTCTAGAGACACGTGGCCTAATGGTGTCTTTAGGAAGCACTCTGGCTGCATGTGGTGATGAATTCAGGGCCAGAGGACCTCTGAGAGAGCTGAACAACGCGACTCTGGCAGCTCTGAAGGAGACCTTCTAGCGCAGTCTCGGAGCCGTGAGTCTATGTGGTTCTAGCCCCTGTTTGGGATTAGCCCATGTTTATATGATGGCTTCAGAGGCTTAGGGAACAGCATCCTATGGCTGAGTGACCCCAGAGATATTGTCCTTGTCTCCATGATCCCAAATTAATGACAAACATGTCCACACTGCAGCAGCAAGAAGAGGCTGAAAGAGACAAGGGCGGACTCAATCTCTTGCTCAGTGCACCACCTCTGCTCCCATCCTATTGGCCACACCCCAGTGTGTGGATGGCAGGACTTTCCCAAGCACTGGAAATCAGTGTGGAAGAAATTTGGGAATAAAGGATAACTCCAAAAAAAAAAAAAAATTCCCCTGATATCTCCCTGACACCACCACATAAACTTACAATGCTAGAGACTTTTCTATCTTAAATTACGCTGTGGCTTATATTTTGGGTATGGAATCCTTTGCATACATCTCTGATTGATTCCTTGAGGTAAACTTTTAGAAATATGAATCAAAGGATATGCAATTTTTAGTAGTTTTTTCAATGGTTGCCAAATTGCCTTCTGGAAAGTTTAACTAATTTACAGTTCCACCTGCTGTGTATAATTACACCCACATCCCTGCAACTTCACCAACACAGAATATTAAAATTTAAAACATAGAGAATTTATTAAGCAAAAATTATATCTCAGTGTTGCCTTAATTTGTCCTCCTTGGGTTACATTTTTTTATTTCCTTATTAAACATTTGCTCTTTGTTTTATTTTCTTAGTGGGAATGCAACTCCTTATTATTACTTTGTCATAAATCTTCTTTTAAAGTGGAAAAAAACCCCACATGATATTGACTTTACCATCTTGAACTTTCTTTTTTGAAATTTTTTTAAACTTGTTCTTTTTAGTTACACATGACGGTAGAGTGTGTTTTGACATACCATACATACATGGAGTATGATTTCCGCTCCTTGTGGTGATACATGATGTGGAGCAACACTGCTCATGTATTCATATATGAACATAGGAAAGTGATGTCTAGTTGATTTTACTGTCTTTCCCATTCCCATTCACCCTCCCTTGCCCAATCAGGTGAACCTCCACTCCTCCCTCCCTCTTGCCTATATTGTGTCATATGAGAGAACATATTCAGCCTTTGGTTTTGTTGGAATTGACTTATTTCACTTTGCATGATACTCTCCAGTTTCATTCATTCACCTGCAAATGCCATAATTTCACTCTTCTTCATGGCTGAGTAATATCCCATTGTGTATATGTACCACATTTTTAAAAATTCATTCATCTGTTGAAGGGCACCTAGGTTGGTTCCATAACTTTGTTCTTGTGAATTGAGCTGGTATAAACATTGATGTGGCCATGTCACTATCGTAAGCTAATTTTAAGTCCTCTTAGTATAATGCTGAGGAGTGGGATAACTGGGTCAAATGATGGCTCCATTCTAAGTTTTCTGAGAGATTGCCATACTGCTTTCCAAAGTGAGTTTACCAATTTGCAGTCCCTCCAGAAATATGTGAGTGTACCTTTTGTCCCACATTCTCTCCAACATTTATTGCTACTTATATTTTTGATAATTGCCATTCTGAATGGAGTGAGATGAAATCTCAGTGTAGTTTTAATTTGAATTTCTCTAATTGTGAGTGATTTTGAACATTTTTTCATATATTTGTTGACCATTCATATTTCTTCTGTAAAGTGTCTGTTCAGTTCCTTTGCCCATTTATTGATTGGGTTGTGTGTGTGTGTGTGTGTGTGTGTGTGTGTGTGTGTGTGTGTGTAAGTTTTTTGAGTTCTTTATATATCTTGGAGATTAATGCTGTATCTGAGGAGCAAGTGGCAAAGATTTTCTCCCTTTCTGTAGGCTCTCTCTTCCTGTTTTTGATTATTTCCTCTGCTGTAAAGAGTTTAACAAAAATCCCACCTATCGATTTTTAACTTTACTTCTTGTGCTTTAGGAGTCTTATTGCAGAATTTGGTTCCTAAATCAACATGATGGAGAATTAGGCCTGCTTTTTCTTCTAGTAGATGCAGGGTCTTTGATTTAATTCCTAGTTTCTTGATCCGCTTTAAGTTGAGTTTTGTGCCTGGTGAGAGACGGAGGTTTAATTTCATTGTGTTGCATATGGATTTCCAGTTTTCCCAGCACCATTGTTGAAGAGTCTATCTTTCCTCTAGTGCATGTTGATGGTGCCTTTGTCTAGTATGAGACAACTGTATTCATGTGGGTTTGTCTCTGCCTTCTATTCTATGCCATTGATCTTCACGTCTGTTCTGGTGCCAACACCATGCCGTTTCTGTTACTATAGCTTGGTAGTATAGTTTAAGGTCTGGTATTTTGATGCCTCCTGCTTCACTTTTCCTGATGAGGATTCTATCTGGGCGTCTCTACACGTAGTTGGTTGGCTTTAGATGTGATCACGTTGCTGCTCCCTGGATCTCTAGGATTTCTCCATTTTGCAGAACTGAAACACTTCCCCCTCCTCCTCTGACATGGGAAACACTTTTCTATATCTGTGGTGCCAGCTGTCTGATTGACATAGCACCCACTGCCTTTCCAGTTTACTGTTCACCTGCCAACTTCACAGGTTGCATTTTTTTTGATGTGCAGAAAGTTTTGCTCCTCTGATTGTGTGTGTGTATGTGTGTGTGTGTGTATGTGTTCAAATCCACTGATCTTTTCCATACAGAAATCCCCCATCTCCCTCTAATTACTTCCAAGAGGAAAGATGGACCTGTTTTATTTGTTTATAAAATCTCCAACTATTAAAATATCTGAACATGGCTCACATACACACAGGCAAGCGGAACTGCAGCCTTGGGAAGTGAAGCCAAAGGCAGACGCATTGGAGAGTTCTGCAGGGCAGAGGACGGGAGGCCAACCTGGGGCAAAGCCCACGGCCTCCCCTTCTTGGTGGATGTGTGATTTCACCTCTGGGAAACTTGGAGCTGGGACGTAGCTACCCTGGTGTCCAGGGTGGTGAGGGCTTTTGCATTCTCTTACCCAGTCATTAATTTTTGTGAACTTCCTTGCATTTTTTCCAATTTGGGAAATCTACCTGGACTATGCTCTAGGTAAAATGTGTTTTTGACCTCAGTGAACACTGTCCACCGCACGTCCCTGTCTCACCCTGGGCCCAGGTTGCCCTTCTCTGAAGAGCAGGAGTCCTCCTTGGAGCCACAGTTGTTCTGAGGAGAGAGGTCCTGAGCTCCGTGGCGGCGCCTGGCTTGTGGCTGCCACACACTTTTGGAGCTTGGCCAGGCTCCCAGGCAGCCATGCTGAGACACACGTCAGCGGGTCCCATGGCACCGGCAAGTCCTTTAAAACTTGGTCATAAGGCCCTTCATTTCCAAATCCAGCAAACGCATTTTTCACTCCTTTCAGGAAGAGTCTTTGGGGGCTGCTAACATGGATGTTGCTGTCAGTTCGGGAAAAGGAGGTGGCGGACGCGTGGGAGGTCAGGACCTGGCCCTCCTGCGGCGGGTCCCCATGGGTGCTCATTGCGTCTTGGGTCTCCACGGGTGCTGGTTGTCTCGTGCCTCAGCTGTGACGACCACTCTTCAGCTGTTGCCCTTGGGCTGGGACTTCAGCTACAAGTCAGTCTGGAGGTGAGGTCAGGACAGACTGGCTCTGAGTTGCCCTTGATAGTCAGCAGAGGGGAGCTGTGACCCTGAAGTGACTTGACAGGATTTACAATGACAGAAGGGGACGGGTGTGTTTGCCAGCCCAGCCCTGCACACTCCCAGGGAGGCCACAGGGTCCTAGACAAACACGGAGCCGAGGACGGGCCACGGGTTCCTCCTAGTGACAGGTACCTCCACGGTGCCACCAGTAGACCCCGGCCCCTGCTTCCTGGCCCACCTCCCAGGCCACCTGCTCCCAGCGCCCTTCCTTGGTCCTCATGGCCAGGTGGGACCTGGGGTGGCCCTGCTGCTTCCCTGCACACAGGGAGGATGACAGGCTCCTCTGCTGGTTGAGACCCTGCCACTGGGAGCCACGGTGCCTGGCAGCTGACCCTGTGTGCCAGGGAAGCCACTTTGATGTATCTCGG